ATGATGAAATCTGGTGTATTGATGGAAATGTGCAGAACAATGCTGTACTTGATAGAAAAGTAAAGCCTCTACTCCAGAAAGAGAACCTGTTTACTGAGACTGTAGGTTAAAAAAGATTTGCTTGATGCAAGTAGTAGTCATATTAATAACTGCACTAAATTATCTGCTAATAGCCAGGATTCCACGAATTTGCCAACCCTCTTAAACTTCGTTACTATGCGCTGATTGATATGTGGCAATTGTTACAGCAAAATAAAGCATTCTGGAAGACATATTCCAATACCTAATTTAATGTGAATAATACGTTATTCATAAGCGCAAAGTGAAATTATCTTGTGGTGGCAAGATATTAGATTCAAACTAGCAGTCGTTAATAGTAGTTAGTAGGTCGAAGCATTCTGAAATGGAGCTATGTATTTATGAAATGGAGCCAAAGATATGCATTTGTAAAATTCATAATCTTACTCGATTTTGTCTTAAGGATTGTGAAATAGAATCTCAAACTTGTCTTTTCGTCTTCATTAACCGTTCATATCTTTATCGAGTCCACAATTGTGCCTTATCTAGTTAGCTGAGGATGATAAACATTGAGATGCCTAAAAGCGAATATACTGCTTATTGATACATACCTCGGATGCGGACTTTGTTTTAGTCGACTTATCTTATCTAATTCCAAAATCAAGCTGAGTAAGGACTCTACTTTCCCTAGGTCGTATAAGGTGATGAAGAACTGGTAGTTGGGTTTTTCCACACTCCTCTGACCAGGCCTTAACAGTGGGGTACAGTTTCGACCCTGGCCGACCCAATGGAACTCGCGGCCGTGTAGCGAATCTGGTCTAGAGCCATGTACTGGGTGTCGATGAGGCCCAGGCAAGTTTGCAAGTGTAGTCTTCAAAATAAAAATTCCTTTTTAGCAAGCAAGACCAAATGTAACTCGATGATCTTGTGTGGCCTGCATGTATCAGTGTAGGAAAATTAAACTATCACTCCTTCACTACCTTGAGCGACCTAGGCTGCATAAAGTTCTTATTCAACATTTACTGATGGTATTGAAATATACAAATTTTAAATTTAAAATCAGGCTATACAATATGCTTATTCCTTTAATTGCTTAACTGTCCTTATGCTAATTTTTTATATGGATGTACCTTAAAAGTCGTGCTTAAGCATACGATTTAACTATGTATATGTTTTTTAGATTATCATTCTTTGTAGGATAAGCAAGCAGTCTTAGCCACACGTATGTGGATTTAACTTCTTACTAATCAATCACGCATCATCAGCTATTATTCTGCTATATATGCTAGACTCTGTTCATTGACTATCCCTTTTGTTTGACTGTATTTGTTTTCTTCTTCACTTTACAGGCGGTGTCGGTGGTGTAAGTAGTGCTGGGGCACCTCGCTCCTCTGCAGCTGGGGTGCTTGGTGGAGATAACGACTTTGAGACAACAGCGGCTCTCACAGCCACATTCAATTTCACAGGCACCTCCGCCGCTGCCAGCGGTGCCACAATGCAAGAATGTTTCATCCAGGTGGGATTCATCTTTTTTCCTCACTATAACGCTTGTTGTGTAGGTTCCCATATCTTCGGCACGACTGATACCTCAATTGACGGGATCAGGCAAATGTCTAATAACATAATTTTCTATATTGTATGATTGGCTTTACCGTGTTGCTGCATTTTATTGTGCTCTCTTTCTCAATATTATATTTTTGCCCTATAGTTATCAAAAATTTTGAATTTCTAGGATTATTTACTATTTTGCTATATTCTTTGCATAATGAAAAATATTATATTGATAAGGTTTTAACCCGAGCACTTCAACTAAGCTGGTATTATAAAAATGCGAGGTTGAATTTTGTCTGATACTAGCCTCCAAGAGTTGTACAGAGTTGGTTGGACTTCGATTTTAAATATTTTCCAAGTTTTACAGTTTGGCTTGGAAGAATTCGATTGTAGTTATGCGTTTTTTTACCTCGAATCCATAGAACGTGCTCAGCCCTAGACGTTTCTTCAGACTCCTGGATCGAGTAGGTCTTAACGTCAAATTAAATCATCTTTACTGATTAATGCTCTATTGACTTCATCATTTAATAGTTGAATCGTCAATATTCATAATTTTATATTCTGTCTAAACGAAAATTTAGCCTGCTCTATTGTTCAAAATTTGGTCCTCTCTTCAGATGGACTTTAAAGAACTTAACTTTGCTGTCGTTGCCAAATTTTCTTTTACTCTGGGTAAATTCCCTGGTATCATAAGTTGGCGGCACCATCATAAATACTAAACTACAAATATATTAATCGACAAATGAATTAATACCATGAAAAAAATATTTTTAAAGATTAATACGTTCTTTCTCCCTAGTGTCTCTTTCGTTTTGATGATTTATTAGTTTGTGCAAAGGATGGCTTAGATACGAAGAGTAGTTGAGTTTAGATTAGTCTCTTAAGCTAGAATTGTTTTTGGGACTTTCATTTCGTTTGAAAGTGCATTGGTATGATATTCGTTGGTTGATCTCACCGGAAGACGAAGGCCGATTCCCTTTGTGCTTCAGCCTTTTGGCTTTAATAGGACGTTCATGTTGACGCATTCCATAAGAAATCCGTTCTCGTTTTGGGTGAAAACTGACCGAGTTTTCTTTCGTCATCGTCAGAGTTGGAACTCCTTCTTGTAAAAACATTAGGTTAAAGCCCAAAAGGCTGGAGAACAACGGTAATTATCCTACGTCTTTCGGTGAGATCAATCAACGAATCTCTTGCTCATGCACTCCCCAGCATAGATGGTCTGGCCCGATAACTATGCCGTCAATAATTTCAGGAATAGGTTCTTCATCGTATTCCTGAAAACACAATGAGGATGCCATAACGAGGTCAAATAATCTCTTTAGCGTTTTCACTCACTGACAAAATAATGAGCCAATCCATGTCGATCCTTGTTTCTTTGCTCCCATTAAACTAGCAATGCATTCTTT